AGCAGGCTCCACAATACAGGAATTTAGCTCTAAGAATTTCTCTGAGGTGCCTGTTTAGAAGAGGTCCTCCCTGAGTCTTTCTTTTGAGCCTTACAAAAGCCCCTATGAGCTGTTTGGGTGACACCCTACACTGCTGATCTGGTTACCCCCAACCTAAGAATAAAAGCAGCCACTGTGATACTCCAAAGAGACAGGCAAGGGAAATGGGCCTGAATAAAAACCTCCCTCTACGCAGCCCTGGCCTGCGCATGTGTGTGCATTTGAAAGGGAGAGAGCGAAAGAAATGAAGAACAACAGTGACTTGTTCCATCCCTTGTAATATATAACAATGCACCAGCATATTCAAGAGGGGCACATTACAATGGATGGAGCAGAGCAGAGGAGTGGTACCCATACAGCTTGGGTAGGTACCACTCTAGGTTTCTCACCTTAGCTTCAGTACTGACTCCCTCTACAGCGTAAGTTGTGGTCTCAGTTTCCCAACCTGTGAATAGGGATAATGAGATTCAGGTCCTGGTCCTACAGTCATGTACAGGCAAACAGACTCCCAAGAATTGCTTACCTTGAGGGATGTGTAGGAGTGAGTGACTCGTTGATGGGAAATATGGCCTGCTTTTGGGAAATGTGGCCTACAAATCTGAAGGCCATGCTGTGGCCCAGATAGCTGGAGGTCCCACTTGGCTTAGTTGCATCGTATCTACAGAGTTCTGCTAGGGCCCCAAGTGTCTGACACTAGCTCTAGGCCATGGGTAGATGAAACAAATTGCAGGTGTGCACAACACTTTAAAGTGGGCTAAATGCCTTTTCATTGCTTTAATGCTGTCGGTGTTTGCATGCCTCAGCAGCGTATTGTACATTAATTCCAGCCGCTGTAGGAAATTTGGCGGTGTAATGCACCTTAAATAACTTGGGGCACAGCAAACTAAAACTCCTTTGAGGAGTTTTAGTTTGCTGTCCCTACAGCCACGGAGAAAAACACTGGGCTCCATGCAGCTCCACGGCATTGCAGGAAGCCCTGCAGGCAGCCTGGCAGCAGCTGGGGAAGGCAGGCTCCGCCCAAGAAAAGAGATGAGCCTGATCCCTGCCCCCCAAGCCTGCCTGCCTGTCTGAGCTGTAGGGGGGGCCTGGTGCTTCCCTTTGCGGCTGCAGTGCCCCCCCAGGACCGCCGGAGCCAGATGCCTGAGGGTGGGTGAGGGGCACCGCAGCCACGAAGGGAAGCACCAGGCCCCCACTGCAGACCAGGGACCGCTCCACCTGTTGGCAGCTCGTCCTTCCCTCCCCGCCACCAGAGAGGCAGGTAAGTGCGGGGTGTGTGCATGACACGGGGATTTTAAGGGCCCTGAATTGAAGCGGTGGGTTTAAAAAACCCACCGCTTCAATTTAGGGCCCCCATTTCATCTACACATGCCCCTAGATAAGAATCAACGTACTAGAATTAGAAAGGACTTCAAGCAACATCTAGGGTACAATTCTGCCTTGCTTTATTTGCTGCAATGAGAGTTTCCCAAGTAGCCTTGTTGGCACTTGGGCACAGTTTCCAATTCTATTACCCATACAGCATGGACCTGTACATTTCTAGACAGCTACTGAGCATGCACAGTAGGCTACACCCTGGCTGTACAGGTACACGGAAGACACAAAATTCTGCTTGACATAAATCAGTGAGGGCTAGATAGATACCAGAGGGGAAGGGCCTTCCTTTGCATGAGGCCAAATAGCTGACTGCTTTTCCCAAGGAAGCAGAAAGCACAAGTTTTAGGAATCTTTCACTCAGAAGGACTTGAACCTACATATGTTTTCATTTCCCAGCACAGTGCTCGCACCACTAGCTTCAAGTGTCATGAAGCCTTGCTTCTGAAGCTGCCTCTCTGAACAGCAATGAGAGGCAAATATGTAGGGCCAGGAGGAAGAGCCAAATCTTGAGAGTATATTCCTCAGTAAGATGACTGTTGCTGTGGAAGGGAGCAGTGTTTCTCTTAAATAGACTGCCCCACTGCTCTCCATCCATGTTATCCAATGAACAATAAAGGCAAGATGCAGTGGATCAGCTTTGAAAGAAGGGTTGTAGCTAGGCTAGGAAAATGCCTAGCAGGTAGAGCACTCTACTAAGGAGTCAGAAAAGCAGCTTTAAACCCCCTTTGAGTGAGGGGGGCCTACAGCCTGAGTCTCCTGCTTCCCGGGTGAATGCCCTAGGTACACAGCTATCAAGGCGAAAATTTAGGAGGTTCCCTCTCCTGCTGATTCTCTAAGGAACTACATCTATGTGCATGCATACTGCCTGGCTAGTACTTAACCTACAGCACATGAGTGGTAAGCTGTATGGATACTTGTGCGTTTACATTGCACAGGTGATAGAATCGCAAACAGTGCATACGTGCCAAACGTGCCCCTTACCTAACCGGAAAACTGCTTTTTTGGCACAGAGAGAGAAAGAATTCTGTCTCTAGCCCAGCTCCCAAAGCAGAATCATAAAATCATGGAAAAGGAATCTGTAGTCATGTCTCCATGTCCATCAGGAAGGGGGCTGGGTGTGGGCTGGGGCAGAGGGCAGCTTGGCAGAGTTTTTTAAACAGAGATTCTCCCTCTCTGCTGGGTGTAGCTTGCCATCTGTGGGCTGCTCCCATATATGAGATGACAGCTTCCTCAGCCAAAAGACTGGGCTCTTCGATAATCCCTCAAGCACTCTGAACCCCAGGCTGTTTACAGCACTTGGATCACGAATGACTGACATTGCAGAATGGATCTAGGAACTTTTCCATCTTCATTTCAGATGAAAGACGAAGCATTTGGCAGCATTGAGCTTGTAAGCATTCGTGTGCAGAGAGGAGGGGTGACAAGTCATTTAACAGCATCGATTCCGCACATGGGTGTGGACGTGGGTGCGCATACGTGTACACGTGTCTGAGCGTGTAGAGGTAAGGGGGGAAAGGCTGCTTTGATCAGATATGCCAACAGAGGAAGAAACATTTGCTGACAACATCTGCGTTTTTCGCTGACTGACACGCCAGAACTTTGGGGTTTTTATTAACAAAATTTTAGATACACAAGCAAAGCCAATGAATGACACATGAGAGAATGCTTGTATTGGGCCAAGCTCAGTCTGGCTGTATGTAGGCCACTTATACCAGGGCTCAGTTTGGTCCACAATAATTAAAATTACCATTCAAGACAGTGGCTTAGGTCTACATCACAGAGGAGGAAGTGGTTATGCAGGTAGTAGTTTCTTTTCCTATCTCTAATACTGCTTTCTCTTGTGCCCTTCTGCAGTTCACTTTGCTATGCTGCTTCTGTTTCTTCCTTTGTAAAATTAGAATGACTTTTATTATCTATGAATTCTATGAAATCTATGAATTATTTGTATTACCTAAAAGCCCAGCAATGGTCAAGATCCTATTGTATTAGGTTCTGCACATGCACAAAACCACTGTTTGCCCCAAAGGCCTTGCAATTTGAGTAGGTGGAGGGGGAGCAGACCCTGAGGTCCCATTGCAGTTCTGTGGCAAAGCCAGGGAAAGAACCTTAGTGTTTTAACTTTCGTCTGATAAATTCTTGCCCTGGGACCTTGCTGCTGCTCTGATAATCCTGACCCACTTAATATTATCTATGTAATAAACATATATCCTGTCTCTGCCTAGTGCTAGTTGAGTCAACTCTTTGGTTGTGTTTGGAAAGAGGCCAACTGAATATGGTTAAGGAAAGTTCTGTGTCACTGTACAAAAGGTGGTCAGTGCAGGTCTATCCCAAATGACTTTGTTGGGCATTGCAGGCTACCCAAGGAAGGGCAGTGCAAGCATAGTCATGCCTGGTTTGACTCAGCACCAAGGCTGGCTGGATCCAAGCGGATCCCTTCTCTCTGGCCTGTCACCAAGTGTCTATGAAGGGATGATTTTGAACAGACAGTAGCTTGGTGATAAGGGAATAAACAAGGCTCAGAGAGGACTTGAAATGCAAAATCCCCACACAAAGACTTCAACTTCCTCCTCATCCCAAACTCAGGCATGTCTACACTAGGTGGCAGCACATCCCAGCAAGGATGGTCTTACTGACCCACTCCCATCCACACATTCACAATGTGCTAGTGAGGACACTGTGGGGATCTCCAGCATGGTTGCCCTCAAGCCCTTGCTTTCCAGTGGACTTGAGAGCACAAGAAATTCACTATGTCTTCAGAGGCACGTTTCTGGGTTGGAGAGTCTAAGAAAAAGTGGATGGATGGGACAAAGTGGGAGTGTTTGTGCAAGCGATGCTGCTGCTGCTATGATGCTGACAGGCTGTTAGGGGCCAGCCAATGACATTTAGATCCAGGTCTACATTTCCTAAACCCCTGGGGAGCCATGGGCACTTGATGCAGCCTTTGAGGGATGGCCATGAGGTGTCTGGGAAGCCAAAGCCCAGCTGTGTGACATAGAAGCTTGGTTTGCTAGGGCCACACAGGAAATAAAACTTTCAAACCCTGGAGCCCTGGCAATTAATGGCTCTCTAACCTCCACATTAATCACATGCTGGATTGTCCCACTCCTGTGATGCCAACTCCATTTTCTGGCAGAGCGGGGCATGTTAGTGCTCACCTCTGGGGCCATAAGAAGGTTATGAATATCAGCTACAAGGATGCTGGTGCAGGGCTGACAGGCAGTGCAGGGGCTGCTGGAGCAGGCCAGCAGAGGGAAGGGTTAAGTGCGATTGGGAGGCTCTGACATTTTGCTAATGTGCTGTGTTAATTGATTCGCTCATTTCCATTTGTTCCTGTTAAAGAGAGACAGATGAGAGTGATCCTGCAGTGCAGCGACTTGGCAGGGAGCGTCTCCACTGAGTGCAGATGTGCTCCTGACTCATTTATTACCATCAGGTCTCCAGGCTACTGACGAGTGAGCGCGCTGAGTATAGCTACTTTTTCAAGGCTCTGGAAAGGAGCAAGGGAACTGGCCTTGCATCCTTACTTCTCATGTATTGAGGCTGTGTCCAAATGTACCCCGCTTCAACAGCGAGTAGGGGCTAGGAACCAGCGAGGATTACCTGTTGTTCACCAGCTGGGGGCTGCCAGGAGTAGCTGCATGGAGTGCCGGGTTCAGTGGCAGCAGGTGGGTCCCTGCTCCCTGTCCCCTCCTCTGGGTTTCCTCCACTGCCGTGAAGACTCCAGTTGCAGGAAGTAGCTATGCAGGGTCCTGGGCTGGGCTGGGTTAGGGCTGGGCAGCATTGGTAGGCAGTCTCTCCCTTTCAGTGCCTGCTCCAGGCCAGTGGGGAGCCTTGGGGAGACCAAGCAGAGAATAGGTTCTGGAAGGAGGGATCTGTCCACCACTGTCACTGTCCCTAGCTATGCCTGGTACCTCCTGAAGCCACTCACAATGGTCCCCAACTGAACTGGGGCACAAGTGACCCGGAGTTCCCCCCCCACCACTGAGTCATCCAGGGACAGTGGTGGTGGGGCAGGTTCCTGCTTCCTATGCCCAGAGGCAACTCCAAGGAGAGGTGCCACTGAGCACTAAAGGGGAGAGGGTGCCCAGATAGAGGTTGGGGGTGCAGGTGTGCTGTGGTGTAACATGTCTCCAAGTGTTTCAGTTTTACCCCCCTCACCTACACCTCCATTTTTAAAATCCTACATCTGCCCATGGCTGTGGCCTTCAGCACAAGCCCACAAGACCCACAGAACAGAAGCTTGAAAGCACTGAAGTGAGGTTAGAAAGAAAAGGCTCTTGCTACAGCTGCAGAGCTAGGGCTGTAGAAGAAGCTCTTGGAGATGGGAAGAAAGAGGAAGCAGACTGAGTGACAATATAGACAATATAAGACACTATATTTGGGGGATTACTGGGGCTCCAGGCTTCCCAGCCCCTATCGGGTCTATGCCAGCAGCCTCAGCTGTATGTTGTGACATGGCCTCCCGATCCCTGGGAAGGAAGAGCATTATTATTAGGGTGACCATACATCCAAGTTTGGCCCGATGAGTCCTGGATTTTGGAGGCTAGTCCCAGTCAGAAGGTGAAAATTTAAACAAGCGTCCTGGAGGTGGGGCATAGGATGCAGTCCAGCAGGAAGGCGGAGCGGCATGAGTTGTGAAATAGGAAGCCACAGCAAACAGCAAAATTGCTCTAAAATAGATTTCATAGATTTCATAGACATTAGGGCTGGAAGGGATCTGGGAAGATCATTGAGGCCAGCCCCCCACCCAAAGGGCAGGAAGTCAGCTGGGCTCATAGGATCCCAGCAAGATAAGCATCCAATTTGCTCTTGAAGGTGTTCAATGTAGGTGCTTGAACCACCTCTGATGGCAGGCTGTTCCAGACCTTGGGGGC